TGACGATCATGATGGTGATGGCAAAAAGACGATTATGGTAATGGTTATAGGATAGTTGTGATGGTGGTGGTGCAAAAATGAAAAATATTATTTGGAGTTAAAATTAGATTTGATTGATCATAATTATTGAATAGGTAGTAAATGTTAATAAATACGAGAATTAATAATAAAATCAATGATAATAACTAATAAAATTTATATTTTAAGTCCATGTATCGTTGCTAGACAAAAATTATGAGATTTTACGTACCCATATTAATGAAGACTTCAGGGAAAGATGTTAGGAAGCCACGAGACGACGCCGGCGAGACCTCGGCGGTATACACCGGCGCAATCATGAGTGCGTAGCCAACTCCAATGCCTGCGACGAAGCGGCCAACCATGAGGAATGCATAGTTCGTGGCGAAACCCATTAGAATTGCACCGGCAAAGAAGATTCCGGCAGAAAATACTATGGTGTACCGGCGGCCAATCCAGTCTGAGGTTCGGCCGGCAGCCGCCGAGCCGAAGAGAGAGTAGATGCCAAGGATACCCACTAGAATTTCAATTTGGACGTCGGAGATTTTTAGGTCTTCTTTGATGTATATTACTGCTCCAGTCATCACTCCAACATCTGCGTGAGATCACCGTGAAGCCATTTAGGATTTGTTTGGTTAGATAGAAAAGACGATATTTTTTCGAAAATGATAAGAAATTATAGAAAAATTCTGTAACATGCCCAAATTGCCCTTACCAAACCTTTTCAATATTCTAGAGGAAAAAAGGGACAAAATGGAAACTCAAACTGTATATCACAATTTTTTTTAAATTTTTTCTGGAGTGTTTTTTTGTAAGAAATAAGCTAACCAAACATAAAAATTTGTAGAATATCTCCTTAGCAAACTTTCCACCACTTTTCCAAGAAAATGTTTCTTCAAAATTTTTTTCAAGGAAAAATTTCGAGAATCATTTAGCGTAGGATATATGTTTGGTCTCCTGGAAAATATTTTCCATCTGAAACATGATCCAATAATTCAATATTATAAGGGTAATCCAAGCTTGAGATTTAATTTGTTGACCTAATTTACTATGACTTTCAGATTAACTGTGGGATCCATCAAACATTGGAACTTGGTGTTTATCCAATAATTCTAATGAAATCATGTCATGAGGTCAACAAATTATGTCAGATTTTTAGGTTCAAATAACATTTTTCATTAAATTAACAGGGTTGGTTATGTATATATACATAGTTTTATTCTGCACAAAAAGAAATTATTGTCATGTTAATCATTAACTTTCGTATTTGACTAAATACTGGAAATTATTGTCATGTTAGTCATTAACTTTCGTATTTGACTAAATACTGTGCACTATACGAGAATTATTATAGGTGCTATACATAGTCTCAAGGAAACTAAAACAACTATATAACGTAACTAGAAAGAAGCATGTAGAAGTAAAACTAACCATAGCCCAGTAATATAGTTGTGGCGGATGCTAAAACAGCACAAAGTATAGCAAATTTGTTTCTCTTTGGTTTCTCAGGAGGATCAAAAGCTGGAATAGGTAGCTGGGATTGGCCGGAAACACCGTTGTTCTCCGGTTTCCGGTCATCCATTTGAGAGAGAGAGAGAGAGAGAGAGAGAGAGTGTGGTATCTTATGGAGGAGGTTCAAGTAGGCATGACCATCGGCTTCTGTTGTGCTTAAATAGACTGGATAAGTAGCTCAGTTAGACATACCTAATCGTCAATCAAACCATGAGGTCAACAAGTCTTATCCAGCTTCTCGTAGACTACAAGATTTACGTAATTATACCTTACAAATTTGATTCTTGTACCTTTTAAATTTAAAACTGCTGTCATGTTTGACTCGCAGCCTGAATCTCATTTTGCTACACTGTCCACCCATAAAGGACACAAGTCCTACGTCTTAACACGACAATCTCATAAATACCCTGCAATGACATTGGACTAAACATATAGACATATAGAGGAAGATTACGGTAGAGGGGTATCGTACTGAAATTACAATGATTTAAAATTAAATTATAATTTTTTTAAGGTGTCCAATTATATCGTACTAAAATTACAATGATTTAAAATCAAATTGTGTGCCTTTTGATTTGATAATAATTTACTTTAACAAAATAATAATCCCACTCCCACGTCAGTTTGGTGAAATGGGCATAAATTATTGATGAGTTTGGGCATCTTAGCTGTATTGTATAACACATTTTAAAGTTGTGCCGTTGTAAACTAAAACAGGTAATGTTATACAAAATTAATCTAAGTCGTTTAATTTTTTGAACCTTGATTTTGAACCTTTCCTTTTGACTACTTATCTGTATGCATAGTATTTTGTTTGCTTCGATGCGAATTGTAAATTCAGATATCATGAATTTAAATTTTGACAATTTTTTGAGGTCAGACTATTAAAGATTTTATTTATCGTGAATATTCTACTCTTGAGGTGAATGACTTGCTTTTGAACAGACCAGAAAAGAAATTAGTCGAGGTGTATATAAATTGACACAAATATCCTTGAGCGTTGAACAAAAAAAAAGTGTTTGATTTTTTTTGATAGTTGAAAAAGGGGTTAGCAAAGGAGAGCGTCCATAAACCATTCCAATAGACCCTCAGTTGTGAGATCATGAGATCTCTGACTATATCCGTTATTCTTTTTGAGAACGAACTTAATTAGGTTAATATTACGATGAATCACCGAACTCAATATAGATTTCAAAACTCAAACTTTCAATTTAAGATGAGAAATTCCACAAATACACACCGAACCGCCCTAAAAAAAAAGTGTTTTGATTGCTATGGCCTTTTGGACGGACACTTGCATTTGCTTGATTTCTGTGTTTGTTTCCTATCATTGGACCACGAGACGTGCCAAAAGCTGTTCAATAATAGAACATATTAAAATGCTATGCTTATTAATCTTTTAACTCAAATGTAGTAGAATCGTTGTTGTTGAACATTAATGAGATTCACTTATTTTACGGTAAAAAATAATGTCACATCATTTAGAATGAAAATTTAATAAAAAAATTTAATAATTATAATATTATCCTTAAACAAAAGCATTGGTTTCATTACAATTAATATGCGAAAAAATTTACACCACAGATTGTATTAGTCAATAAAATACGTGGCATAAACTTGTATATTTAGAATTTAAATTTTTTCAAAAATTTAAATTTTATTTACAAATAATTACACATTTATAATTTGCGTTATAATGACGAGTGCAAGACATGTATGCTTGATACAATTTTTTACTTTCGGAGAAAAAAAAAAAAAAAAAAAAAATGTCTACTTGATTGGCATGATTGTTACAAGGCCCCTCCGTGGAATGTGATACGTTTGAGCCACGTGGAGGCATAAGCACGGTTGATTACTACCCAACAGCCAAAATAATTGGAGATTGTTTTTTTGTTCAAAAAAATGAATCTTTTTTTTATCTTTGTCCTAACGAGGATTTGACACCATTCGGCCAATAGTCAAATTAAATCTAAGAAAGTATAATGATAGAGTAACTTGAACGTTATATATACATCACAAAAAACAAAAAAAAAACCAATGTAGAATAACATTAGGGAAATTTCAAGGGTTAATTATGTTACAATGCTATGATATTATTTATAAAACTTTAAACAAATCCTAATGGAAATGAATTATTTACCTTTCTAATGGCCGGCTTAATCAATTAATAACCCATGGATATTCTACTAGGCATTCATTGAAGATGATAAATACTATGCTAGATTGTTAAACATTAGATTTTCATAGAAGCTAGATTAAAAGATCATGTTATCATTGATGACATGATATCACCGTTGTATTCAATAATTACTTCAGTTTAAAGTCCACGAGCCACATCATACCACCTACAAACCTCGTACTCTCTCTCTTAATGTGCAGTAATGGTGAATTGAAGTAATTTGTGTAATGGATTTGTCGTTTAATTGAAATAGAATTGGTGTCGACAACAATGGTAGTTTAGTAGTTCTTGAGTGGATGTGTGCATCAACATTACATCAGTAGATGTTCACCTTGTGTAATGTAGCACATGTGTGTTGTTGCTTTTGCACAGTAAATAATTAATATAAATAATATTTGTTAGAAGATAAAAATTTAAAAATAGAAAAATAATAAAACAAAATGATACAAAAATATAATGTGAATCGATACAACATATCAATTTTAGTACACCGTACCTATATCCACGAACCAAACTAAGAGTTTATATCGATGTATAATTTATTGAAAAAATTGATCATCTGCTAACTAATTACATAATATTCAATCGTATTTATAGGAACAAAATATTATAACCCAAATATAATTTGATCTTTATATTTTCTATCACATGTCTAATATACATAAGTATATTAAAATTCTTCCAATTTGTTTCCTATTTCATTAGGTCCCTAACAAACTAGGTTTATTAGGACTCTTTCAACATGTTTTATATTACATTAAGGATTCTTACATTGATTACCCAACAAATTTCTTCGTAACAATTAAAAATTTTAGATCAAATTCCAAAATATGTGTGTACATCTTTGTTTAGAGAAAAAACAATGAACAAAATGGAATTTTTGAATCATGATATACCTTGTTTAACAAGAAGCACGTTTAGAAACTATAATTATTTTATTTCAATGAGAAATAAAAGGAACAATGTCCATACACGGCTTCACCGGCATTTTATTCTTGACATTTGTGAAAAACGCCGGCAAGCACATGAAATTTCGACGTTTACGTTGGAGGCTAGCTAGTAGTGTGAACGCTGGTCACAACCGACATATAAAGTCATGCAGGGGATACTAATATACCAAACCCAATCCCATTTCTTTTTCCTCATTTTGGACGTAACTCATTTTTTATTTCAATACATATATGATTTTCCATACCACTCTGTCACTCCAAAGACTTTCATCCCCCCACCAATACCCATCCACACACACACAAAACAAACCAAACCAAACCCCCATTTTTATTCTCAAACTTTAGCCATGACTCCCCTTCTGAATCTCACACTTAGCCTCAGCTTCGTTTTTCTTCACCTCCATCATTGTTGCCCTCCACTTGAAGAAAGTCCCAAACAAAACCTCCATCTCCTCGAGGGATCTACCCTGTGTTTCAGGGAGCAACATATAAACGAACACCCATGCCACAATTGCAACCCGTGAATAAAAGAAGGCCCCACCAATTGTGATGGCCTTATATAAAGATATAAAGGTCATTGAGAGGACCCCACTTGTCACCCTATTCACCGCTACCCCCATACTACACCCTTGTGCTCTTAGCTTCGGCGGAAATATATCAGAGCTGTATACCCAAGCGATGGGACCCGTCCCGATCGAGAAGAACGCGACGTATGATAATACCATGGACAAAGACAACGCTATGGCCCACGTAAGCTTATGATCGGAGTGATTAATCACCGTCAAACTAACGCCAAGCAACATCAGGGAAAAGATCATACCCGCAACACTTGATAGAAGCAACGGTCGCCGTCCGATCTTGTCTAGTAAAAATGTGGCCACTAAGATGAAAACTGTCTTTGTGGCACCAACGGCGATTAATGCCAATAACTTATGAGAGTCGTTTGTTATACCCGTTTTTTGATAAATTCTCGGGCTATACAAAATAACAGCGTCTATACCGCTCGATTGTTGAAAGAAGTGTCTGCGGTGAAAATGTGAAGAACTGCGGGTGTAGGATTAAAAAGTAGCTCTCTCCATACACCTTGGCCCCAGTTACTTTTTGTTGTTACCAAAACGACATCGTCGTTACATATTTCACGAATTCCTATTGCTTGTTTGATATCGGCTAGTCCTAATTGGGCCTCTTCTTTGGAATCTGAGGTTTTATCCAAAACTCAGTTTTGCATCACCGAGTCGACCCTGCAAAACCAGCCACCGAGGTGACTCGGGCATAGTTAAGACTACTACGGCTAAGAATACTGATGGAATTGCCCCGATTCCAACCATCAATCGCCAACCTAAATGTTTTGGTAGCTTGGAAAATGCATAGTTGGACACAAATCCAAGTAATACATCTGAAAAAGTAGCATGAATACATGTTATTTACGAGAATAAGGCTGTGATACTTCTATAAAATATGGTATCATTATTGTTGGGAATCATAAATTTTAAATTTATTCATATTTTACTATTAATTATAAAAATAACAAAATAATACAATAAACAAAAGCTTTTAAAATATCAAGTTTTTTATTGAACAAAAAATAGAGCTAGTGTTGGAAAACTCTCTCGATTCACACTAATAAATTTTTTGTGAATTTAATTATAATTCGTTATGTACAAGTGGGGGTTTTACTTATTAATAGTAACATATCGACTAAAAAATATAGGATTAATTGTATTAGAGGTTCTCAAAATATGGAGTTTATTTTATTTTGATCTCCAATATTTCAATTGTATTATTTTAGTCTTTGAAGTATTGAATATATTTTTATATGATCTCTCAAGCAAACAACGAATAGATTACTAACGATTTTTGGTTATAAACTTGTCATGTAATATTTAAATATTGTCACATAGATATTTGGTAAAAAACTACCCAAATAATTTTTTTACCAATAATTAGGTATCACACGATAATTTTCATCTCTGAAATATTAACATCTTATTTTGTTGAAAGAGTACATAAAAATATATTTAATATTTCAGAGACGAAAATTATGTAATTAAAATATTAGTGATAAAAATAAGATAAAATGTATACTTTGAGAAACTCGAATATAATTAATCCAAACATATATTAGCCGGTGAGAATTTGAAATTCATTTGTCCAATTGCACCTAATATTCTCTCGGTCTTTACGTACCGAAGTTAATGAAGACTGCAGGGAAAGATGTAAGAAAGCCATGACACGACGCCGGCGCAACCTCCGCTGTGTACACCGGTGCAATCATAGCCAACGCCGATGCCGGCGACGAACCTGCCAACCATGAGGAAGGCGTAGTTGGTGGCGAAACCCATCAGAAGTCCCCCGGCAAAGAAAATTGCACAGGCGATGACTATGGTGTACCGGCGGCCAACCCAGTCTGAGTTCTTGCCAGCCGCAGCGGAGCCCAAGAAAGAGTAGAGATTGAGGATTCCGATGAGAATTTCAACTTGTACGTCGGAGATTTTGAAGTCGTCTTGGATGTAGTTTGCTGCTCCACTCATCACTCCAATATCTGCAACAACAAAAACAAAAACAAAAACCACCCATGAAGCCACTTAGCAAGATTTCTGAGACTTTTCCAAGAAATTATTCCTTCTGAAACATCTTCATGGAAAATTTGTCCTGTGTCCTTGTGTAGGATGCTTGCGGGTTAGTATCAAAGTGTAGTGGATTAAATTAAAAGAAGCATACAGGAACTGTGATATATCATATGACAGATAATGTTGGAACATAGTTTGCTGGAACATAATTCTAATATTACTTGTTCGTTTTATGCAGCGAATAATTAACACAAATAATACTTATTCAAAAATAGGAATTCAAAAATAGGAAAACAATAAAAACATGAGACAGAGATATAATGTGGCTCGATACAGCATACTTACCTACTCAGTAGGTCGTACCTACATTCATAGACCAAAAATCTACATCGATATATTATTCACTGAATCTGGTTATTTGATAATTGATTATATAATACTCAACTCTCTTTATAGGGATAAAATATTGTGACCCAAACCTATTTAGATACTAATTTATCTTTATTTTTCTTATCACATGTCTAACATAACTATTTATGGTATATTAAAACTCTTCCAATATATTCCTATTTCATATAGGATTCTTACGTTGATTATCCAACAAACTCTCATTCATGATAACTAGGAAGTTTGAGTCAAATTCCAACAACTTCCTTTGAACCAAACTCTTCAATTTTGGTCGAGCTTGCGTCTTGGTCTGTATCATTTGTGCATCTCTGCTCGCATCTTGCCTACTCTTGGGAGGTTTCAATGGTCAATGTTTCACCATTCAAAAGTAAAAGTATAGTGACTTGTGACCCACGAGACACCAAATTATCACTATTGAGTTTATGTCAGCCTAATAGCTCCCAGACTATTGGAAAATCGTGACTTTAACTCTAAGCGTTAAAAAAACCTGAAATATTTTTTTTGAAATATAATTTTTTAATGATAATATTTAAAAACGATAAAAAATCTAGTTTATTTTTTATGTCAGCTAACAATAGACACACACACACACACACACACACACACACACACATATATATATATATATATATAT